CAGTAAAGATATTTATAATGTTGAACTTTCTCTTCATCAAAGAATCCTGAAAAACATTTATCAAGGTCTCCAAGTATTACGCAACACAACTGTTTTCAACATTGATGATAATAAGACATGTTTCTCGAGCACCAAATCAGCATATAAGAAGGATTTCTGAAGGATCATGTGACACTGAAGACTGGAGTAATGATGCTGGAAATGTAGCTTTGCCATCACAGGACAAAGCTAAGCAGTTTTTGAAGTAGAAAACCTTTCGAAATAAAACATTATTTTGAGTTGTATTAAAAGTTCACAATATTCCAGTTTTCACAGTGCTTTTGGTCAAATAAATGCAGCCTTGGTGAGCAGAAGTGACTTCTTTCGAAAACATTTCAAACATTACATTTTTGAGTAGTATTGTAAATGTGTAATTTTGTTTTTATCATGTTATTTGAGATTTGTTCATCTAACATCCTTCCCCATATTGTGTCTTAGATGAGCCGATCCAGCCCATAGATCCAGCAGCATGGATCAATCATTCAGTGGCTCTCACAGGGGTGTTTCCATCCTACCCGAGCAGCACAATCACCTCCAGCTCATCTGTCACCGAAACTGAACGTAAGTATTGCGCTTATGTCTTCTTTACTTTTTCTAGACCTTTGCTTTACAAGCACACTCTCACTAGCCATATTATTTAATCTCTCTTTCTCTGTCTGTAGGCTTTGATGAGTTCAACCTGTCTCTTCGCTCTGACATGGCATCGGTTGCTAAGGCCATGGCATCTCCTGAGTCCGGTCTGGAGGTCAGAGACCGAATGTGGCTGAAGATCACCATTCCCAATGCTTTCCTAGGTCAGAGACTTTTACCCGAGACTGTATTTACACACTGTTCCTAAATGATCGTTGTAACTATGAGACAAATGGACCTTCAATCTAATCCAGTGTTTGCTTTTCTCTGTCTTTATGATTGTGCATATAGGTTCAGATGTGGTTGAGTGGTTGTATCATCACATTGATGGGTTTCAGGACAGACGGGAAGCCCGTAAATATGCCAGTAACCTACTAAAGGCTGGTTTCATCAGACACACTGTTAACAAGATCACCTTTTCTGAACAGTGTTATTACATATTTGGAGACTTCAGTAACTGTGAAAATTGTAAGTAAAATCAGCTTTTATTATAGATGATCATAAAAAATACATATAGGGCAAATTATTATTTTTTGGTTAAATGCATACATGTTATTTAATCTCTCAATTTTTTTCTTATCAGACATGGCCAACCTTTCTCTTAATGATAACGATGGTTCCAGCGGTGCTTCAGACCAGGACACTCTGGCGCCTCTTCCATTACCAGGGGCAACACCATGGCCTCTGCTCCACTCTTTCACGTATCAGTACCCTCACCCCTATTCCACCCAGCCACCTCCTTATCATGAGCTCTCCAACTACAGCTATGGCCCAGGCAGTGCAGGCAGCCAGCACAGTGAAGGTAACAAACACACTGACCCTCAGGCACAAAATGTATGGAAATGTGTGAACAAATGTTTAGAGATTTCATGAATCAGAGCTTAATAAAATCCACATACACTACCGTTCAAAGGTTTGGGGTCAGTAAGATCATTAATATTTTTTTCTTTTTAATTTATTCTTTATTATTAAATTATTCTTTTATTCAGCAAGGTTGCATTAAATTGATTGAAAGTGACAGTAATAACTTCTACATTGCTATAAAAAAAATTCTGTTTAAAGAAAATACTGTTCTTTTCATCTGAGAATCCTGAAAAAATGTATTACAGTTTTCACAAAAATATTAAGCAGCACAAATGTTCAACATCGATAATAATGAGAAATGTTTCTCGAGCGCCAAATCAGCCAATCAGAATGATCTCTGAAGGATCATGTGACACTGAAGACTGGAGTAATGATGCTGAATATTCAGCTTTGCCATCACAGGACTAAATTAAGTTTTACAATATAATAAATAGAAAACGGTTATTTTAAATTGTAAAAATATTTTTACAGTTACTGTTTTTACTATTAAAAAAAAAAAAATGCAACCTCACAATGAGACATTTTTCCAAAACCATTAAAAAAATTGTACTTTTGAATTGTAGTGTATATCCATTGATTGTCATTATGTAACTAAAACTGAGAAAACGCTGGACAAATATGCTGCACTTATTAATTCATTTTTATTAGTATTTATTAAGTTTTGTTGTTTTTATCTGTGTTATTTTAAATGTATATAATATGGTATATTAGTGTAAAATAATAAAAAAAAACATTTTAAGTTCTGACTTGTAAAACACTATCCCCCGGTTTCAGAGACATGGCTTAAGGCTAGTCCCAGATTAAAATGCATGTTTGAGCTGTCTCAACTGAAAATATCTTGCTCTGACATATCTTAAAAAATGTCAGTTCCATTGTTCTGTCTCAAGATGCACACATGTAACGTTTTCTTCTAAGTCATTTTTATAAAAGCTGCTTAAATATCTTAATTTAACTAAGGTCTAGTCCTGGCTTAAGCTAAGCCCCGTCTGTGAAACCGGGCCTATATGCTTCATTTTATTTCAATTAATAGTGGAATACAAACATAATGTATTATTTATATTAAACTACGAAGTTGCTATGACAATCAGCATGCATCTTGTATTCTAGTCACCATATGAAAATAAGTTTTTGTTCCCCTGTCAACACCCTGTTGTGCTCTCGTCTCTTTCTCTCAGGGAGTCACAGCAGTGGCTCTACACGCAGTGATGGAGAGAAGAGAAGGGGCAATAAAAGCGTATCTGGCAGTACAGCGGGCGGTAGCGTACGTGACGATAAATCTCCCGGTGGGGGCGGGGCTGACTCGCGTTCCGGCAGCGGCAGCGAATCAGATTACTCTGTTCGCAGCAGCCTGAGACGAGACCACGGCTCAGCCACGCCCAGTGAACACAGTCGCTCCAGTCAGCGCTCGAGCCAACGCTCGCATCATCGCGTTCCTCCACCTGCTCATCTCGCCCCATATCCGCCTGGAATCCCCATTCCTTACAACCCAATGATGGTGATGATGGTGCCCCAACATCCACACCCACACCTAGCACTTGGAGCCCCGCACCCACAAACGCCTACTTTGCCGCCCCACCCTGGCTTGCTGCCCTCTGGCACCCCTGGTGGGCCTCCAGGAGCTCCACCGACCCGAGACCTGGGCTCCGTCCCGCCTGAGCTGACAGCCTCTAGGCAGTCTTTCCACTTGGCTATGGGCAACCCCAGTGAGTTTTTTGTGGATGTGATGTAATGAAGGATGTAGCCGTCGATGTACAGGTGAAGGAGTGAATGCAGAGAGGTTTGTAGTCACATTATAACTGTGAGTTCCACTCTGTGACTGACAGAGATGTAGTTTACTGTATCAGTGCAGCTCTTTAGAGTTAGCGTTTGTCCTTGACGGTAGGAACAGGGTTCACGGAAGGGCAGGGAGTCTTGCGTAGCATGGACTTCAACATCTATTTTGTCTTTGTATTTGTCACTTTTGCAGTTTGACAGGCTTTGCCATTAACTGCCATGGGAAAAAAATACTTTTTGTTCCCATATTGTTCTCAGCTTGAAAAAAAAAGCTACATTTTAATTTTGTATTTAACTAAGCAGCATGCAGATTTGGAACAGCATGAGGATAAGTATATAATCTTCTGAATTTGCATTTTTGATATTTCTCTATGTTGTCTTGCTCTTGGGTCATTGTGTTCAACCGAGGAAATGTTTAATAGCCTTTATGTAATCGAGACTTTGTGTAGGCATGTGCCTATACAGAAAATGATCTCCCCAAAAAATAAATTCATTAAAAAATTAATAAAAAAAAAATCACTTGAATTGACGTTTTAAAATAAAAAGTTAACTTTTTCTCAAAAAGTAACCTTAACTTAAATATTAATAAGAATTATTACTACCTGTATCAATTATTTTAAACTATTATGTAATTGAATATAATAAGATTTTTTACTACATAGATACAAATGTTTCAATTAATTTATAATTTATTTTATATTATTATGACATGATGACGACAATCTAATCACTACATATATGCAGTTTAATTAATATACATGGAACCGTATATTATTTTGCAAGCTTGGTTCAGCTTATATCCATATCGTTTCACTGTGACACACAAAGGAACCTTCAGCTGTATTGTAGCACCTCCCCCGAAGTGTCTGAGATCAGCAGCGTTAACGTTACATGACCAGAGTCGGTGAAGGGCGGAATAAAACGGGTCCTGCGGCATTGTAGGACACTCAGTCCAGAGCTCGTTTACCTCTAGCCGGACATTGTGGTCCCGTTGTTTATCGGCATTGTGTGACTTTATAATTTGTCCTCGATCCTAGGCAAAGGTTGACACTTCCGCTTCACGGGAGATAAACAACGCCCGGCAAGAAAGACACGAATCTCGGCCGAGTCGTAATCATGTTGCTGCGTAAAGTTACTCAAAGTCCTGCGATCTGCAACTCCGTCCTCCGTCTACAGCCAGCGATTACCGGGTGAGACTCGCTGCTTTCATTCAGGTCGAGCTTATTATCGTTACCTAAAAAAACTAAAGTCAAATCGAATATACAGAAGCTAAAATAACTTGAAATTAAAAGCAATTCGAATATCTATCCATCTCTCTATTAATATGATAGATAGAAACATGCAGAAGAGGTTAAGACAATATATGACTGTTATATCAATACATGATATGATTTTTTTTTCTGACTTTCTCTCCTTTATCAGAGCGCAACGCCAAACTGGAGCTATTGTAGCAGTGCAAAATGCACGTTTTTACGCGAGCCAGGCCGCAGAGGTGAGACCTATTAATGTGCATCAATATAATGTATTCATTTTCAAACATGGGTTATGTCACAGAGTCAGTTCAAGTACTTTGTGACCAGAACTGACACAACAGATCATGCTGTAGCCAATCCGGTCTTGTCCTGTGGAGAGAGAGAAAAAAACAGGTGCTTGTCCTCAGACACACATTAATATAAATCTGGAGTAAAGTTCACATGACACACAGGAGCTTGGCAGTAGGTGTTTTGCCATGTGATCTTACGTGTTACATAAATTGTGGTTGACCTACACGGAAATGAGATGCTCTGTGTCAGAATAAATATTTAGAGATAGTAAGGAAAATATAAAATGTTGTTATGGTTGATTCATTATCACGCTGCTGCTGATTCAGAAGCGCCAGATTGTCGCCATAAAGTCGGAATTTACCCTTTTTTATTTTTTTTTTAGAAATAGCCTTTGTGCACAGCCAGCCTTGTACTCCTCTAGGTTAAAAAAACTGTCATCCAGATGCAACACACTTATTGATCTTTTATAATGTAGAGACAGTATTGTTATTTTACTATAAGAGACTCATACATTTTTCCCTTTCAGGAGTCAAAGTCCTTTGCTGTGAATATTTTCAAAGGGCAAATCAGCACTTCTCAGGTCTTCCCCTTTCCGTCAGGTGACTCCCAAAAAAATTTCCCCCCTGTGCTAAAGTATGTTTTAGATGCATTGCTTTGATATGGTCCAGTGTTATTTTGTGGTCATCAGATATTATATTTTAAAAACCAGAAAATGTTGATTTTAGTCTGATTTTTGTTTTTAAATGTTATAGTATTAGGTTTTGTTGTAGTGTTGTTACTCGTTATACTCACACTTCAGTGTTGCTCAGTGTGTGTTTACTGTATTTATGCCCTGAATATTTTTACATTCATCGATGTAGTGCTCAATGAAGAGCAGTCACAGTTTCTCAAGGAGTTGGTTGGGCCATGCAGTAAGTTTTTTGAGGTAAGTTTAATGCACCGACACTTCTGTTTTAGAATAAATACTTTTCTTTTATAGACTGATTTCCTTAAATATTTGAAAACAGTCATTCTACATATTATTGAAAATTCAAACAATGGACAAATGTGAGAAAATGAAGCTCAGCATTAAATCTTGAGGAAGTGTCCCATAAGAGGACAAAACAATATTGATACAATCTACCTTTACGCTAAAGATGTTTAAAATAAAAGTTAAAACTGTAGCTCACATGATACTGAGAAATGCGAAGGCAGTTGGCATGCTTTGCGTCCATTATAGTAACTTTTAGACTTTTTCATTTTCTTTGCAATGTGCCGATGTGTGTTTCAAGGAAGTGAACGACCCCATGAAGAATGATGCTCTGGAGAAAGTGGAGGAGCGCACAATGGAAGGCCTAAAGGAGATGGGAGCTTTTGGTCTTCAGGTGCCTGCAGATCTTGGTGGCGTTGGCCTCACCAACACACAGGTAAGACCACTGATCCATTCTCATTTTTCTTTTATTTGGGTAGGAGGTAGAGATATAAACAAATAGAAATCTAGAGATGCACATTAAATTTATGCATGTACCTGCTCTGTTTACAGTACGCCAGGCTGGTGGAGATTGTCGGGATGCATGATCTGGGTGTGGGCATCACTCTTGGTGCCCATCAGTCCATTGGCTTCAAAGGCATCCTGCTTTTTGGTAACCCCCAGCAGAAAGAGAAGTACCTTCCGAAGCTGGCCACTGGTGAGTGAGTGAAGAGCACACACAACAACTGCTGCAGTGTTTAGCTGTGTGACTTAAACTTAACATATAATTTATTAATAACCATAATATTTGTGCATATTTTTAATGCATTCTTATACTGTCAGTTGCCTATTTTAATAAGTTTGTGAATTTATTTATGAGTGTTTAATCCTGCATTATAAAAAGATACATTTACTTATTTGCCCACAAAGTCGGCCACAAATATTCCAAATGGAATGGCTGTCATGATTGTGAAAAATTGGCTAACGATTAATTATTGTACACATAACTGCAAACTATGATTTAAAAAGTAATTTGAATACACTTCATAAAATGCATTTATGTTTTAACAAATAATGCACAATAGTATGACAAATAATTTGTAATTATTTCAATTAAAATAATATTTTTTTTAATGTTAAAATATTTACAAATGTTTAAAATATGTCCGATTATCTTTTGTCTGAGTTCACTGTCAATTCACGCCAAACCGACTATTATATTAATATGAAAACGAATGCAAACTAGATTAAACCTAATGAAGTGCACAGTAACTACACTTTTCACAAATATGCAATTATTATGACCAAACATTTAAGATTAGCAGACCAAATCTAAAAATTGTAAGAATCTGACATTGAAAACCCCATAATGGGTGACAACTCATAAAGGGATAGTTCATGATGGTTCACCCCAAAATAAAAATTCTGTCATCGTTTACTCACCCTCGGGTTGTTCTAAATCACGTGATATACGAGTTTCTTCTGTTGAACATGAAAGAAGATAGTTTTAAGACTGTGGGTAACCAAACAGTTGCTGGTCCCCATTGACTTACTTAGTGTGGTTTCACTGTGTCATTCAAGTCATTGGGGACCAGAAACTGTTTACCCACATTCTTTAAAATGTCTTCTTTTGTGTTCAGCAGAAGAAAGAAATTCATACAGGTTTGGAACAATTTGACGGTAAGTAGATGATGCCAGAATTTTAATTCTTTGGTAAACTATCCCTTTAATATTGTCTATGTTTGTTAAATAATAACTCTGTCTTGTGTGTTTCTGGTAGGAGAGCACGTTGCTGCCTTCTGTCTTACTGAACCAGCAAGTGGTTCTGATGCAGCCTCCATTAAAACCAGTGCAGTTCGTTCCCCCTGCGGCCAGTACTACACCATGAATGGAAGCAAGATCTGGATCAGGTGTGTGTGACCTTACTCTTAACAAATACACACAAAAACCCACATGTTGGGTGGCAAGGATGTTCACCTATTTTGCTGCCACTAGGGGGCATCATGAATAAACATATCACAGGCTGGTCCATGTCCACTTGGATGATGCCATATTACTATTAATTGGCTCTCTCAGCTGTACAGTCATTCAAAACAGTGTTTCTGGTCAGTGAGCCGATTGTGTGCTTGTGGGGGGTTTTGTTATCTTGGTATGACGATGTGATTTCTGTATCAAAGATATCTATCTTTCATGTGTGTTCCTCATTGAAGTCTAGTAACAACCAGAGAACTTACACATTGCATTTTGGCAACTCATAAATGAATATGAGTAACTAAATATACTAAGTTTAGTAGTGTGAAGAACTGTTGTACTTAGTGGAGCTTAGCATTTTGTTTTTTATTGCTCATACCGAAGGCTAGGGGGATTTTCTAAACCCCTGACATTAAGTATTAAACTTTGCCACACTTGCCTTTATACAATCAAACCGTGCAGCTTGATGAGGTGTTAGAATTTAATGAAAATAAGTTTATCATACAAGAAGTGCGTTTTCATGGCAGCTGTTTAGTGATTCTTTAGTGATTGTCAAACATGACTGAACGAATTCAAGGTGCACTTTTTAATTATGCAAAATGTTTTGGGTTTCTTCTCACGATATTCTTAGCACCATATGACAGCCTCGAGGACCTTTGCAAAAATAAAAAATATACAGACTTTTATGTGTGCACGAGAAACCATTCAACTTAGCATATAGGACAATGCACACTGAGCCAACTATTGTGACATCAGCCCATTTCACGGTGTGGTTTCATGGCTGCCACAGAATATGCGTTAAAGAGACCTAAGGCCTTGAAATATGACATACTCCCCTAATGAAAGCTACATTTTGAACACTTTTTTTTTTTTTTTTTACAATACCAGTCTTTTTTATAGACCCGTGAACTTGTCAAATAGGACAGTGCACATGGCTATATTATGCCATCAGCCCATTTCGTGTCATGGTTTTTCTGCTGCGGCAGAGGATGTGCTAAATTGTACATTAGGTCTTGATATTAGACCGTAAGAAAAGCCACATTTTAAGCAAGTAGATCTCTATTAATTCATGTGCGTCCATGCCCTCACTTTATTCATAGTAAGATGCCTGTGATGCACAAAATAAATATGTTATATAAAAATAGAAATTGTAATGCATAAGCATGTGAATAGTTTCTCGAGGGCATTTTTTTTTGTGTGCTTGCAAAAGTCACTTAGAGAAAATCAATGTAAAAAAAACTATAAAAAATATTTACAGATGACTATAGTATATCCCAAATATAAAGCTGAAAATAGTGCTGTATGAAACATTTGTTAAATATGGTCCGAAAATCTACTGAGAAGTTTGGAAAAGTATGGAATTTTGAAATGGTAAATGTGTAGGAACCCTGGCTACTTTTCTAATTAATATGAAATATAATTTTTGCCTCATGGATGTTAAAATAGGCAAAAAAATCCCATAGATTTATAATGGAGTAGGAGACCAGCATATTATAGAGACTTGGGATATAGCTGGCAAGAAACTTCCAGAACACTTTAGAAAAACCCTATAAACAACTGAGAATACCTTGGCAACTGCATGACAACAAATTTAACCCTCTGGTGCTCAGAAACGTTTTTGTTTTGAATTCTTAAAAATCACAGCTTCATCGGAATGGTATGAAACTTGTTGACTTTTATGGCACACTTGTGGTCTTCGGTCAAAAATAACCAACCATAGGAGATGAATGGGAAATCGACAATTTTTGTGTGTACAATCTACAAATCTGCCACCATGCAGAAAAAGTACGCAGCAATGACGGGGTGAAACTAAAACATCAAGAGTGCAAAACCAACACATCCACTCACACACATGCGTAAACACACACACACACACCCCTATGAACTGGTGTGACTGTAACACAGCAAATATGTCAAATAAAAGCAATAATTCAACTACAATGCAGTAAAAAAGTGAACAGCAAGGAAGGGTTTACACTCTCAAACATCAAAACAGACACATCCACTCACACGCACACACACAGACACATACACAATTATACACACTCAAATTAATTGGTATGGCTATAACCATATAGTCAAAACGAGTCAGAAAACTGAAATAAGAGGTTGAAATCAGATCAGACCCAGAAGGATTAAGCTCCGATAAAACATTCCTATTCATTTTTGTTACATTTTTATAGAATTTTAATGTTTTCTGTAACAAAATGCTTTCTCTGTGTTCAGGTTTGACTATAGTAATAATAATTCAAAAACTGACGCTTCAAATCAACATTTCAAACCCAATAAAATCTAAACCTTTACAAAAAAGTTGTCGTTGAGAATGTCTAAATATATATCCAAATCTACAACTTAATAAAAATAAGTATTTATGTCTAAAATCAGCTAGAGAATTGATAGGCCTTCTATATAGGAATCTAGTGGCTAAACCATGGAATTGCAGATGTTTTTCTTATTTTACTCCCACCAGATGGCACTAATCTGGCTTCAAAATTTGGATTTTAAAGGGGGGGGGGGATTCAGTATTATGGTAAAAATCAAGAAGTTTAAGTTCAGGTAAATGAGCGGTTTGTGTGCAAAATAGAACTGAATGATTCTGGATAATTTTTTTTTTTTCTTTTTTCCCCCCCAATGGAAGTTGTGGTTCTCTCATGATTCTGAAGAAAAAACATGAGACAACAAAACACTCAAGATGTAAATTTTTTCCATTACTGGATGAATCAGCATTCTTGAACGAATCTCTTGTATGAGTCAAAGACAAATACATTTTAAGGCCGGGACACACCAAGCCGACAGTCGGCCAACGTCGGGCCGATGGCGAGCGACGGTCGGGCTAGTTTGTTTGGTGTGTTCCACTCGTCGGGGCTCACGTCTGCGGCAGTTTGCATGTTGAATCAGCGACGGGGCCGTCGGCGAGAGTGAGAGCTCTGATTGGATGTTCAGTTTAGCGAAGGAGTCAGTGCCTGAGAATTAAAGCGAAAGTGATGAAAACAAGCACTTAATGAAGGCGGTTCAGACAGAAGGCTGTTTAAATGTTATGTGATCTTTTCCAATCATTCTAATACGTGAATGTTTTCATAACAACATGAGCGGCTTAAAATGATTAAAGTTATCAACGTTACTGATATTCAAAATGGTAAGCAAGCGCTGCTTTGTTTACGTTTCGTATATCTGCGTTTATCTCGTATATCTTTGTTTCGGTTTCTCCTTTTGAATGACGAATAGATACTATTGATAGCTGCTGATTTAGACAGTTAATTCCTCTCACGCATGCGCAGAACGCACGTGTTAGTTTGCCGTCGGCTGTAGACTGTGTGTGTGTTCGAGCGCAGTCTTTTTGGTCCAATGCTGACGACGCAAGGCGACAACACCGTCGGCTTTTGTCGCCGCTAGTTATGTGAAGTCGGCTTGGTGTGTCCCAGTCTTTAACAGCCCCTTTTCGCCACCTACTGGCGTAACAATGTAATCGATAAACCTTCATTTGAAGTGTCAAATTACTTTCAAAAGGTGATTTACTCTATTTTAATCGCTACCATACACATCATACACACAGTTTATATCTGAACTATAAACTTTTATCCGAGTACTTCTGTGATTTGAATGTTTGTAACAGAAATAATGATACTGTGTGGCTGAAAAGACTGTAAAGCTGTTTCGTTCATGACAGACAGCTGCTCTCTTTAGGTCAGCGGCAGTGCGAACGCAGATTTAAATGTTCAAATCACACGGGTGTGATCGTACTCTGCACGGACGAACCAAGTGATCACAACATTGATCGCACACGTCAAAGTTTGAGGAATGAAACAGATGAATCATTGTAATTTAGGAATAGAATCACGTTAGTGTTTGAATCGTGTTTGCAATCTTTAACGATCTATTAAATTAAAGTGCTTTGTCATATTGGTGGTGATCTCTTGCAACATGTTTAGCTATCACAGATATTATACTTAGCTTTTTTGGCTTCTGATTGCTAATGTAGCCAAACTTTGGAGCGCTTAGATTACGGAGCAAGGTCCTGGCAGATCGCCAGGTACGGTCCTCACAGATGAAGAAGAAAAAAAAAAGCGCATAGGAATCGATAGGCGGAATCGAAATTTAAATTTGACAACAAGTATCCGATTCCTGATTCGGAATAGATTTTCGATTCCCAACCCTAGTAACAGGTAGTTCCTTCTCTATCTTTCTATCCACAAGCGGGTCCTTGGCCTGAATACGGTTGAAGACTCCATCATATTGCATTATTAATAATAAACAAGTTCTTTGCCTCCTCTCTCTTAGTAATGGAGGGATTGCTGAGATCTTCACTGTGTTTGCAAAGACTCCCATGAAGGATGAAAAGACCGGAGAGATGAAGGACAAAATTACAGCATTTATTGTGGAGAGGAGCTTCGGAGGAGTCACACAGTTAGTGCTTGTTTTGACTCCTTTCTGATCAGGAATCTTTTGAGTTGACATTTTCGCTGACCATTTCCCCTGTCTGTCATCATCTTTCTTGATTGTCTCTTTATCTGTTGCTCTTTTTAAATTAACTTTTTCTCTCAGTGGTCCTCCTGAGAAAAAGATGGGCATTAAAGCATCCAACACAGCAGAAGTGTATTTTGAGAACGTGCGTGTCCCTGCGGAGTGTGTACTGGGAGAGGTTGGAGGTGGATTCAAAGTGGCCATGAACATCCTCAACAATGGCCGCTTCGGCATGGCCGCTGCCCTCTCTGGCACCATGAAGGGTGTCATCGCCAAAGCGGTGCGTATGTGTGCTATAGTGCACGTTATCAGATGTTTGTTCTGTTTGCCTCTTTGAGTGTGTAATGCTGAACAAAGTTTTTCTCGCTTTCTTTTTCGATTCCTCTTCTCATATTTAGTTTGTCTAGCATGCTGTTTTGTTAGGCCACATCCTCCCACCCGCTGACACCCCTATCATCCTCACTTCCTCTGCTTAATATGCAGGGAAATTCCTCCGCGTGCATTGCACTGTCCCCGTGCTGCGTGGCATCTAAGCTCGTATTGGCACATGCCTCACCATAATTTTCCCGCGTATTTTTCTCTCGCTGCTCATCATGGTTGACTGATTTCTTAAAAGCTGTGAAAGTTACGAGTTCTTACGCAACTGATGAAATACAGCTTGAAGGCACTGTAAGTCGTTGTAAAAGCGTCTGCCAAATACAGAAAAACTAATTCAATTTCTGCTGAAATGAAAGCAGTTCTTAAATGTGCAAATTTTTGGTTGCTAAAAATAAATCAAAATGTACTGAAACAGGATGCTTGTGCACTTATAGCAATATGCTCTCATGAAATGTGCAGTTGCTGAGTGATTGTGGGCTACAGCGGGGGGAGGAGGAGATTTCTCAACAGCCTCTGTGCTTGCTCTTACCGCAGGCATCTGTGTTTGTCTCCGTGTTTGTGTATCCGTCTCAGACCAGGATCTTTTGAAAGCGGAAACTAAGCGTAGACCTTATTCACTGCAGTACACTTGTGCTGTGGGTCTTCAGTTACTGGTTTGTTTGAAGGTTAGATTGAACATGTCAAGTCATAAAAAGAAAGCATGAATTCGGGCATGCATATGCTGTCCTTTCACATATTTGCATACAGAATTTTTAAACCTGCCAAATGAAAATTCCAGTCAGGTTTATGTCTCATCAGTGCATTTAGGTGTATTTCATTACTGCAATAATTCCAGGTAATTTTTTGATGAAGTTGAGTACATGAGCATTTTTTGCATGTGCTGTTTCAGCAAAATCTTTTTTTCAAGCTATTATTTTTCCAAAATAACCTCAATTTTTATTTTGAGAACTCTTGATTTCACCAGTTAGCTAAATAGTCTCTATATTTCTTCTTCTTCTTTTTTTCCCCTCTCATCTCTCACAGGTTGACCATGCTGCTAACCGGACTCAGTTTGGCAACAAGATTCACAACTATGGTGCCATTCAGGAAAAGATGGCCAGAATGGCAATGCTTCAGTATGTGACAGAGGTGAGCTTACCTACTGCTTTCACATCTTGACTTTCCCCTCAAGGAACAAGGAAATTTGAGAGTCAAACACTGCCTACTAACTGTATGTCATCTATTTATTGAGTCAAGTAAATACTGCTTTTGTTTGATCCTATAGATTAAGCAAATGTACACAGTTCAAATGTGAAGCATCTGTAATGGGCAGTGTGCTTTTTATGGACTTTGCAGATATCAGCGTTTTAGCTGTGTACACTTGCAGAGCTTAGTCCATGAATTCCTTACTTCCACATGACTTAGAGGAAGTGGAAGCTTCCCCCTTTGATTTGATGTGATTTGAGTGGGTCACGTGTGGTTAAAGTCTAAAAATACAGTCTTTTTATCATCTGTTGTGTTTCCATGTCTGTTTTCCATGTTGGAGTTGTTTGTTCTGATTAGTGTGTTCTTCTTTTTTCTCCTTCTTTCATCTTTTCTCCATGGACTTAGTCCATGGCTTACATGGTTAGTGGGAACATGGACAGCGGAGCCACAGAGTTCCAGATTGAAGCAGCCATTAGTAAAATCTTTGCTTCTGTAAGTGTTTAACATATTGTATATCCCAGTTGTGCTAGTTTTTAATCCCACATACATATTTGGGAATATTTTCGAAATTTTTATGAAATGAATGAATGAATGAGGCATTTATATAGCACTATATTGTGTATTTCTGTACACCCAAAGCGCTTTACAATCATATGGGGGTATCTCTCCTGATGTGATGTTTAAAGAATATATTGCAAATTCACCATATCGCTGGGTTTTCCTTTAGGAAGCAGCTTGGTTGGTGACAGATGAATGCATTCAAGTTATGGGTGGAATGGGATTCATGAAGGTCAGTGTGTGTGTGTGTTGTTTGTGTTGTGACTGGATTTTTAAAATGTATTTTGTGATGCTTAAGTCAAGTCAAATTTATTTGTATTGCCCTTTTCACAATACACATTGTTTCAAAGCATCTTTACAGAAAGTCATACTGTTATATCCATAGTGCCTTAAATTAATAATTCACCCAAAAATTTAAATTTTCTGAAAATGAATCACCCTCAGGCTGTCTAAGATGTAGATGTGTTTTTTTGTTTGTTCATCTGAACAGATTTGGATAAATTTAGCATTACAACACTTGCTCCCCAATGGATCCTCAGCAGTGAATGGGTGCCATCAGAATGAGAGTCCAAACAGCTGATAAAAACATCACAATATTCCACATAACTTCAGTTCAATTCATGTCTGGTGAAGGGTTTGTAATAAACAAATCCTTCATTAAGAAGTTTTTAACTTGAAACTTGTTTTTCAGCTAAGTCCGCTATCCATAAAATTGCTTTCTCTGGTGAAAAAGTTGTCTTGTCTGAATCAAGAGAGAAATATGCACGGATATATTAAGTATATTTATAAATAAAACACCATTTACTATAAGCTAAAGCAGTCCAAAACATTTCTCAACAAATATGTCGGTGGATTTTGATGTGAGAGGACAACAGGATTATGGATTATTTACTCCTATTTTGGCCAGAAGAGATGGTTTTAAGAGAACCATTTTAATGAAGGATTTGTTTCTTACAAACACAGCTTATTGTAACATTAATTGATGTGGAGTGGACTGGAGTGGTGTGGATTATTGTGATGTTTTTATCAGCTCTCATTCTGGCGGCACCCATTCACTGCAGAGGATTCATTGGTAAGTGCATGATTCTCTGGTTTTAGATCGAGGTATATTGCATTTATTATATGGTGTATTGAATATATCAGCGCCAAAAATAAATGAGAGATAAATATTAGTTGGTTTTGTACAAAGCTTTTTATTGTCAGCTTTCTCAGAAACCATACTCTGTCAGGGTGGAAGTCTAATTTTGGCACAATAGCATTGCAGCAACATAATGTCTGTGTTGTGACTCAAAGTGTGAACATTCATAAACGCCTACTTTGTGGGCAATCACCCCCTCAAGGCCTAAAAGTTTTGTCCCGGGGTGGTGGAAAAACTGGAGGTGTCTTGCAAAGGAAGACCTCTGCAACAATGTGATTGGTTAGCGAGAGGGGGACACGGATGTGTTAACTTTTCACGCCGCAACACAAAACCATACGCAGATAAAATTGGCATTTGCTGAATGTAGGTCATGTCTGCATGTTGACTGTGTGGCTGCGTTGCGTTGTATTGTTTTGTTTTTGTTTTTTCATGTCAATTGAGATGCCACACATGTGCTGCTGTAAAACTGAAGTAGTTTTCCCAGTCTGAACATGTTGCGTATGCAAAATGTGCAGATGCAGCCTCTAGCCACTGATCGAGGTGAGCTGTTTCTAGAGAAGAGTTTCATCAGTTCCTCTTAATCTGTCTCTTTTGTGGGCTACTGATCAGTTAGATTAAAACAACAAGTCTCTCAGATCCACTTGCTTTTATACTATATACAGGGGTGCACATAAGTTTTTCAGCCTGGAGATTTGGTTTGACCCATTAAATATAACTATAAAAAAACATTAATAATAGTGATAATAATATTATTGCACTTATTTTAGTTTTTTTGTAATAAAATAATAAACAAAATAATAAAGTGTGATAATACTATTATATTTTAAAATATAAAGAGTATTAAATAATAATAAATAATTTTATGGTAAACTTAAAAAAAAAAAAGCTAATATTTACTTCTTTATATATATATACTTAACTAAATTTATGACTGGTAGTATATCATGGTTCCCACAAGAATATAAGGCAGCAAAAATAGTTTTCAACTTTGATTTAAAAAGAAAATAAAATACTTCTTGAACTAAATCAGCATATTAGAATTATTTCTAAAGGATAATTTGACAATGAAGCCTGGAGTGATGGCTGCTGAAAATTTACATTTGTCATCACAGGAATAAATACATTTTTAAAATATATATATATAATATATAAAAATACTGATTTATTGTGATTTATACTGATTTAGTATTTAAAAAATACTGTGTGTGTGTGTGCCGTAACTTTATTTCCATCATGAGGATTTTTGAAAATTACTTCCATCATGTTCTCATGTATTTCCTATTTAAACTGAACTAAAAGAATGAATTGATTATTTTTGTGGCACTTTGACATCAGTCTCTGTACAACATGTTATTGATGCAGGATGCTGGTGTGGAAAGGGTATTGAGGGACCTGCGAATCTTCAGAATCTTTGAGGGTACCAATGACATCCTGCGACTGTTCGTAGCGCTCAACGGCTTCCAGGTAAAAGAGGAAAACACTGCTGAGAACATAACTGCCTGCCTTACAGCTTCCTGTTCAGCAAAACCACCTAAAGCTCACATCATGTGTGGTTGTTGACATCTGGCACTGCTAAAAATTGGTATTGGAGTTTGCCAGTGCACGTGTTTTAATGCAAACACAGTATGTAAATTACATTTTCAAATGTGTGTTCTGTTCGGTAGAATGCAGGCAATCAGCTGAAGAGCTTGCAGAAAGCTCTAAAGAACCCTCTTGGTAATGCTGGGGTGTTGGTGAGTGAAATCACCAAGCGAGCCAAGAGGTTAGACCTTCATATCTCTAAAAACACTCTTGCAAGACATTTTGTTGTGTTTTGCAGTGTCATGTTCTTTGCATCAACTTGATAAACCTGCAATATGTCTGTCCTTATCTCTCTGTCTCTGACAGGAAGGCAGGCTTGGGGACAGGACTAACATTGCAAGGAACGGTCCATCCAGAGCTTAACCACAGTGGAGAATTGGTAAATTAAAGCAAAGCCATAGTACTTGGATAACACTGTTCAGCCAATGCTGAATGATATTTACTCAAAATAATACCATGAAAGGAAACCACCAATAATACCAAAGCCTAAATGAGACATAGAGATTACAGGCCTAAAATAGTATTTTCTTCCCCTCTTAAAAAGACTGTTAAAGCCATTGAGCAATTTGGAGCTGTTATTGAAGAGCTTCTTCTGAAACATGGAAAGAGAATCATTGGTGAGTGATGTGTTTGCCTTGTGCTGCTACTGATAGATCTTTGTTAGATTATATTATTTGCTTCAGCCTGCATTGGCAATTTGCCATGGACTTTTTTGTGTTGTGCATGTTAACTCTTCCTGGTTTCAACTTTCTTTCACTTTACATATTTACAGCTAAATACTGTGACAGAAGCTTTGAGCGTGTGACTTGAACTTTTCAAGTGATTCTGTACATGTGGCTTTTCAGATGAACAATTTGTTCTGAAGCGAGTTGCAGACTGTGCCATTGATCTGTACGCCATGGTCGCGGTCTTGTCCAGGTACGTTTTATTATTAAATGTATTAGTTTGTATACAACCTTTACAACTGCTCATGCTAAGGCTTTTGTTTAAAATCCATAACCCAAAGTGTGAAACTTTGACACAGTTTGTGCTGCAGACACAAAGGTTACCTCAAATCGTGCAGCTTGTAAAGGAAAGCTGTCCTTAAAAAAAATGCAGTTGAGTTACAGTGAATGAATGATTCAAGCTGAACAGAATATCATAGACACTTTTGGATAGGCGCTGCTAACTTGAGACAGTAAGCTCCGATTTCCTTATGAAAACATACAAATCTGGTTGTTATTGTTGTTTATGTATTAATGAATGTATTTCCTGTATGCCCATGCATTACTGGAAATAGAGTTGATAATTGTCTAATTAAAGGAGAGATCATTCAGCTCTACTTATGTTTATGTGTGTTTACTCGTCTTGCTTTCTCAGAGCGTCCAGGTCTCTCAGCCAAGGCCACCCTTCTGCTCAGCATGAGAAGATGCTGTGTGAAACCTGGTGTACTGAGGTCAGTGTTTAGTGTCCATGTTTCCTTTTTAAACTTCTCCCCATCTCATCTTTAAGCATTAATCCCTGATTTCTTTCCTTTAGGCCCATGAGAGAGTCATCCAGGACATCAGGTTCCTCGGGTCAGGGACGTCCAAGCAGATCTTCAAGAACTTGCGTGCCATTTCTGCTGCTGTGGTAGAAAATGGAGGAGTGGTATCTCCTCATCCTCTGGGCTTTTAAAGCCCTGCTCTTCCTCCCATCACCCAACCATTTCTTTTCTAACCAGTCAGTCAAAGCTGCCCATATTTCTTTACCCAGACTGTTCAGTGCTGCAATCCTTTATGAGTGGAGTCTGTCACATTGTGTACTTCGACCACAGGAGTGCTTTAATATTTAACAAAGTATGTAAATTAATAAATAGGACGTGTAAATTGAGCTGTACATTGAAGAATTGGATTTGTGTTTGTTTATAAATGTAGTTCTTTTGTAGATTTAATCAAGCCTAAATGTAAACAAATGTTGATTAATATTAACCAGTAATGAAAACGAATCTGCTTGGAAGAGCACTTTAGACTTGTCAACAAACCTCAGCCCAATATCCGGTCCAGCTGCTAGCATTTTGCAAATGTTTTCAATTTGTCATTGTTGGTCAACATTTGTATTTAGCGGTTTTATATATTGAACCTAAACTTGAGCTGTTCCCATGGTTTTAATGTGAAATGTCTTATCCAGAGTTACCCTAAAGTTTGTTCTCATAACTAAAATAGAAACTCTTTTGAGTTGCATATCATGAACAAGTCGTTAGTCTCGGTTACTTTTTTTTTTATTTTTATGGGACTTGTGAACTAAATAACATTATGCTCTGAACATAAATACAAAAGGTCTTTATTACAAATGGGCAATACCACATCAACACCTGCGATTTAGAAATTACACATATCTAATCTATTCTTCTTTCATTTTTGGTGGCATCTCCCAGTAGGCATGTAATTACTTCTAAAGCAAACATACAAAAAAACACGTGTTAACAGTATACAGCTGCACCAGCCTGATGCAATTATAAATATTCGCTCTGTGTTGCAGTGCTTAACGATATTTGAAATCTCCCAGCATCATACGTTTTGTCCTTTCACCAGTGCATTCGTTTCTGAATGCAGTATATTGTAAAGAGACCGTTTACAGGCAATTGTAATAGCACGTTAGTGACCTTATTAAGCAAGTGTGTCTTGAAAACTCAGGATGCTGTGGTTACAAACATTGCGTATCAAATACTACAAATCTTTCAGTGTCACCATGCAGTTTAACTACACATAAATTACAATTTCATTAAACCTGTTTCACAGTCTAAGTTTAAGTTGGTTTATTTGGGTCATTAGCTTATATATATATGACTGCAAAATACTGTTAAGTTTTGCCAAAACAAAGGATACCAGAGAAGAGATTTTAGAAAAATAAGAATTCACATCCTAATTGTTACTTGTTCGCATGACAATAAGTCACCGGTACTATTTACAGTTAATATTCACAGTTGACGATGTCTTCAGCAAACGTAATTCCTGAACACTGTAGCTGCTGTATTTTACTCCAACTTAATGAAGTTATGGCTTGCAGACTAAAAATAACCGTTTTCTAAAAGTCACAACTTTGTTTTCTCAGTGAAAAATGTGTTGAACTTAAGATATGCAACAACACATGGGATGGATTGCATAGCGTTTGTCTTGGTAAGTAAATATTCCTTTTGAAGAGCTCGTCGTCAGGTCTGTCTCTACTCCAAAGATGTCACACAGTCGTCTGTGAGATCTCTCTTGATAATAACGTCTCTGAAGTCATTCTCCTCTCCCTGAAATAAACACAGCATGTTAGATTATTTAGAATTCCAGCATAGATTTCATATCATGTACAATTTGGTTGTCAATGAGTTTTCAGTATCTTTCGTTTTTCTGACTTCTGAAAGAAACCTGCCTCAAATGGTTTGGCTGTTTTTTTGTGCTGATTTAAGATGGCCTCCCAGCCTGTATAAACTGGTGCTCATCTGGATTAGTTGAGCAAAACCGCTGCAATATCAGTCTGATCAGCATGGTGGTAGATTAGAGAACCAGCGTAGAGAAGACTTTTTGTATTTGTCAGTAGTTGCTCAAGTTTGAAAACATGACAGATGAGAGTCTGTGGTCTTAGGTGTGAAATGCGGCTTTAGCCTTTGATAAACCCACCAAATAATAGAAAGTAGGCACCAGTTCCCTTGAATAAATATTGACACCTTTCTAAATCTTTATCATAGGTCTACACTACTGTTCAAAGCTTTGGGGTCAGTAAGATTTATTATATACCAAAAAAAAAAAAATTCAATTTTTTTTTCCCTGCAAAGATGCATTAACTTATAAGTGACAGTAAAGACTTGTTTACAAAAATATCTTTTTCAAATAATGTATTACGGTTTCCACAAAAACCTTAAGCACGTGTGACACTGAAGACTGGCGTAATGATGCTGTAAATTCAGTTTTGCCATCATAGGAATAAATGTATAAAATATATTAAAATAGAAAACGGTTATCAATTTTTACTGCTTTTTTAAAATCACTAAATGCAACCTGTGTAAGTCTTTAAAAACATTAAAAATCGTACCGACTCTAAACTTTAGAACTGTAGTTTTAAATGGAGTGGGCCGAATGAACGATATACTTTTTATTTTCTCTTGATGTGGGAATATTTGGCTCCCACACAGACATTTATCACAATATTTATCTTACTGGACAGTAATTGTTCTCTTGAGACCAAGCAAAGTCAACAGTATTTAGAATCCAAATATATTTTTACTCTTGCATTATATTATCTTTTAATATCCGGTCAGAAAATTAATAATATTATTATATATCCATATTACTATTATAAAATATATATTCATATATCGCATTTGGCCACACCCCCAAACATTTTAGATGACAGAAAATATCCTATTTAAGATACTTTAATGCAGTAGTATATTAACCAGAAATAGCTGAAATTGTCATTTTTTTTTCAGGACGTATATGAATTTTTACATCTCATAATATTTAATTAAGTTCGAACAATACTGTTCCTGAATAGGCCTGTCGTTAGCTGCTTGTTTTGACTCTGAGTTGTGGGGGAATCTTTGGACGAGTCATACAAAAATACGAGCAAACGTGTGAAACAGATGCTTTTCATTTTTAGTGAAGTGGTATAATTTTTTTTTTTTTGAAGTAAAGATTCTTAAATAGGTCTCTTGTTTATGAAGAACCATTAGAGGGTTCTTCAGTTGTCTGTTTGTCGTGTTTTTTTGTCTTTGGAGTATTTTTGCTTCTTTAAATCAGTTAATGGAAGTTCGAGTAGACCAGTGGAATAAATGTCTCCTCTATGACATGAAGATGTAAAAACATGATCAAAAGGAACGTTTATATTTAAGAGTGTATGAAAATCCATTTAACAGAAGCCATTCTTCTCCAGACCACAGTCCACGTAAAACAATAAGCACAAGCCAAACGTTTTTGTCTTAAACCGATTTAAAGTCTTAACACAAGTTTGAACTTTTTGGCTAGCGAGTGCACGTTACCAAATGCACCAAAATTGCGATGCGTAATGCTCCTTCGCAAGGACAAGTAGGCGGTAAACAATTATTCTAGGCTACTGTGTTCACCTACCTTTGCTGGCGACGCCGATTGGGATGTGTGATGTTGACAGTCCACTCCAAAATGCGCTTCAGCCGGCCGGATAAACACGGGAACCGGTGATTAAGATGTTCCAGCAGTTCCTCTTTACGCAGTCCGTACACGATCGGCGCAATGCACTGCGCCAGGCTGAAGAAGGCAAAACTTATGACCGCAAAAAGCTCTTTTGTGGATCTCTCGAGTAAATCATTGCGGTAAAGGATATACAGAAAAAACAGTATGAAATTGGGGAGGATGTAGACGGCGAGCTGCGTGCCGTGGAGAGCGATAGTCCTACACGCAGCTCGGTTGCGCCGGTTCAACACACCCAGACGACGCCCCTCATACAAGATCCGTACATAGCTGTACACGATAAGAACAGTGCAAATTGTTATTAGAATGATTTTGTGCATTTCTCCGCCTTGCAGCGCTTTCCTTCCACAGGGCACAGTGTCATTTATTTTGGGCGACAGGGTAAGAGGAATAATCGACGCGAGTCCCCATGTTAAGATCCCGATGAGCCACGGCCAGGGTTTGAAACACACTTTGCTATAGTGGAGCGGGTAACATATGGCAAAGTAACGGTCCAGCGCCATCGCCGTGATGGTGAGGATGATATTGGAGCCGCTTGTCATCAGACCTTTGATTAGCAACATGCATATGTTTCGCGTGGTCGCTGCTTTCAGGTAGCTTTGCAAGTTAAAGCTAAAGCTTACTGCGAAGTAAACCAGCGCGGAGAACAACAAGTGGAACACGAGAACGAAGCGCGCGTGGCTCCGCAGGCGCGCCTCGCGCACTATAGTCCAGTTGATGATCAAGTTGAAAAAGGCCAAAATGATCAAAGAAACCCCCGATGCCCAAACACGTATGTGTGGATACGAGTTGGCATCACCTGTAGTAGCATTTGTCATCCTAGCGCTTCTTCAGGCCTCGCTCGTACAGTAGTAGAACCGAAACGTTCCAGAACAAAACGCTTTTAACAGGTGCGCACGGTTCATTTGGCTCGACGTTGGTCAATGTTTCTCCAAAAATCCGAATGTTCATGTGAATTCGTTTGGTGGATCTGTTCGGTCAAAAACACCAGCGGTCCTCGCGTAAAAGTCAGCCTAGTGATGGAAAGAGTCAGCTTCACGTTTACTTTCCTCTCTAGAGCAGCAGAGAGAGAGAGAGAGGGCGTGTTCGAGTGCTAATTTCGGCGCCTTTTGTGTGTGTGCAGCATATTTTCATGAGAAATGTGACCGGTGTCTTATAAAAGAATGGAAGACAGACTCAGATCCTGCTATTGAATGCGTTTTTGAATATTTGTTTGAAAGCCGTTTAACTTAAAACGTGGATATAGTGCTGTTATATTGAGCAATCATACTTTTTCAGTATGGGACATGAAACCTGGAAGTGTTGTAACTTCTTTTGATGCAATATTTGTAACTAAACACTTTTTTTTGTATTTGTAACCTTCATTTTGAAGGTTCGTCCTCGTGCTCCACTTGTTGTTCTCTGCGCTGGTTTGCTTCGCAGTAATAAAGGTGCTTCACAATGTCATAGGAAAAACCTTTTTTTGTCTACATGGTTCCATAAAGAAACTTTATCATCTTTTGTTTCACTAAAGCTTCTTTGTGGCGAAAGAAGGTTCTTCAGATTATAAAAGGGTAAGAAAGAGATGGTTCTTTAAAGAACCTTTGACTGAATGGTTCTTTGTGGAACCAAAAAAAAGCTTCTTCTATGACATTGTGAAGAACCTAAGCACCTTTATTTTTAAGAGTGTATAATGTTCCCATATTTACAGTGGTGGCCAAAATGATTAGAACACTAGTATTTTCACCAGCTAAAAATGGGTTTAAGTCGGTT